AAGTGGGACTGATCCTTCCAAATAAAGGGGCCGCGGAGGCATCCTGAGCAAGAGCTCTGAGGAGCAAAGCTTGTTGACATAGCGATAGAAGACAGCCAGATCAACGTGTCCCCAACACAGATGACCTTCGACATCGGAACGCGCTTTTCTATCAGAAGTGGGATTGGTCCTTCGAAATAAAGGGAGCGCGGCGGCATCCTGAGCAAGAGCTCTGAGGAGCAAAGCTTGTTAACATAGCGATAGAAGACAGCCAGCTCAAAGTGTCCCCAACACAGATGACCTTCGACATCGGAATGCGCTTTTCTATCAGAAGTGGGATTGGTTGACACAGCGGTAGAAAAGGGCCAGGTGTAAGTGACCCAAACATTGCCTTCGGACTTCGTTTGCCCATCAGAAGTGGGATTAGTCCTCCGGAATAAAGGGGGATATGTGCAAGATCTGCAAGAATAGTAACCCGCTGCCCCGGAAAATCAAACGAACGCCAAACGTACAATATGCCACAAGTGCATGAAGGTGCCGCAATATTGAAATTTTTATCGTTTAACTTTCCACTTACCGAGAATTTACAGCTGCAGAATTTAATTCGGCCATGGCGTAGGTTTACATAAGGCCAGCGACGCCAGCGTTGCACCTTCCTTTGTTTTATGAAATTTTCAAATCGAGCGAGCTGCGAGTATAATGGAAAAATTTTATTGCGGCATATCGAGCAAGTTGGAGCCAAGTCATATGAGATTCGTGTGATCCGGGGCATTTGAGACCGGCGGATATATTTCTGAATTAAATTGGATTGACTATTTTTACAAAACGTATGAAAAATGATGAAAAACCCAACCAGGGATAACTCACTCCGGGTCTGCTTGAAGAAGGTCTACAAGGGTTTCACGTTGTTACTCATTGAAATAATATTGGGCTCGCAAGCAATATAGGAAATTAAACTCAAGATCTTCCCAGATGAGTAGACATAGGAATCGTACGGTCAATATAAAATAATAGACGACAGATAACACAAAGAAACTACATTTTACAACAAAATAGTTATTTGAAACTGAATAGTACAATCAATTGCACTTAGATGGAGATGTTAGTTTTATCTATTCATCTGGTACCGTCTAGCGCGTTTGGATACAGTGTCATAATGAGATTGCTCTCGAATCCAAAGCTGCGAAGTGCTCCATAAGCTCAACTCCCCATCAAAGCCATCTATTTATAGTGATACGTCACTGATAAAAGGAATATAGCGAAACACATACAGAGACCGCATCTTTGCGGGCGCCATCTTGCTGATCGCATTAGCGCCAACTCATCGAGTCAGTCGGTTCTAACGTTCTAACACGATATCCCAAAAGATGCAGTCGACGGCGACGTATTGCAAGTCAGCGTCTGGATTCGTACAGCTCCTGACATGACCGTAGGTCTCGAAATTTCAATGAAGGGATTCACGAGCCCCAATCTAAAGGGACACAGCGACAGACAGACAGAGAGAGAGAGAGAGAGAGATGACTGCAAATAGGCCAAAAGGTTCGTAGCGGGTCCCGACAAACGTCGGATTCGCTGGCTACTGAGTAGGGGTAGGAACAAATTTTGGTGAGGGCCTCAAAATTTCCAAGCTTTTCACAATTTTCAAGCTAACCAGAATTTCTAGAAATTTCAAGATTCATTTTTAAGATTTTCAATATTTCCAAGATTTTCATGAATTTCAAGTATTTCGAGTTTCAAAGATTTTCAAGATTATCGAGGTTTTCAAGATTTTCAAGATTTTCAAGTTTTTCAGGATATTCAAGATTTTCAAGATTTTCAAGATTTTCAAGATTTTCAAGATTTTCAAGATTTCCAAGTTTTTCACGATTTTCAAGATTTTTCATGATTTCCAAGATTTTCATGAGTTTCAAGAATTTCGAGTTTAAAAGATTTTCAAGATTATCGAGTTTTTCAAGATTTTCAAGATTATCGAGGTTTTCAAGATTTTCAGGATTTTCAAGTATTTCAAGATTTTCAAGATTTTTAAGATTTTCAAGATTCCAAGATTTCAAGATTTTCAAGATTTTCAAGATTTTCAAGATTTTCAAGATTTTCAAGATTTTAAAGATTTTCAAGATTTTCAAGATTTTCAAGATTTTCAAGATTTTCCAGATTTTTCAAGATTTTCGAGATTTTAAGATTATCAAGATTATCCAGATTATCAAGATTGTCAAGATTGTCAAGATTGTCAGGATTTTCAAGATTTCAAGATTTTCAAGATTTTCAAGATTTTCAAGATTTTCAAGATTTTCAAGATTTTCAAGATTTTCAAGATTTTCAAGATTTTCAAGATTTCAAGATTTTCAAGATTTTCAAGATTTTAAAGATTTTCAAGATTTTCAGATTTTCCAGATTTTTCAAGATTTTCAAGATTTTTAAGATTATCAAGATTATCCAGATTATCAAGATTGTCAAGATTGTCAAGATTGTCAGGATTTTCAAGATTTTCAAGATTTTCAAGATTTTCAAGATTTTCAAGTTTCCAAGATTTTCATGAGTTTCAAGAATTTCGAGTTTAAAAGATTTTCAAGATTATCGAGTTTTTCAAGATTTTCAAGATTATCGAGGTTTTCAAGGATTTCAGGATTTTCAAGTATTTCAAGATTTCAGATTTTTAAGATTTCAAGATTCCAAGATTTTCAAGATTTTCAAGATTTTCAAGATTTTCAAGATTTTAAAGATTTTCAAGATTTTCAAGATTTCAAGATTTTCAAGATTTTCCAGATTTTTCAAGATTTTCACAAGATTTTTAAGATTATCAAGATTATCCAGATTATCAAGATTGTCAAGATTGTCAAGATTGTCAGGATTTTCAAGATTTTCAAGATTTTCAAGATTTTCAAGATTTTCAAGATTTTCAAGATTTTCAAGATTTTCAAGATTTCAAGATTTTCAAGATTTTCAAGATTTTCAAGATTTTCAAGATTTC